AGTTTACCACAGAGCAAGTGTTTCGCATACATACATACATATGTACATATGTATATAAATGACTTTGGCTTTACCTAGGGTAGGTAATACGTGGTAGGTATGTTAGTACGTTCATATATAATATGTGGATGTATAGCTGACTTAGCACAATTCTCAGCCTTTATGTTTACACTACCGCACATACAAACATACATTCATACACACATATACGCATTTACTATGAATAATAGTAAAGTTTAAAAGGCAATTTGTCGATTGGTGAAGCGGTTCCTTAGATGTTGAATAGCTAAATAGGACAAAACAAAACAAAAACAAAACAAAGCAAATCAATCATTTTGAAAGTGGTATTCACACACAGATCCTTGCACATGTTCAAAAACCGATGTGGGTAAAATATAACGACTATTATTGTGTTTTTCTGTGCAATTTGAGGGAAATTTTGGCAGCACTATAATTATGTGCATACAAGTAAACGCACACATGCACACGTACACTACATAAACGTGAATTGCGTTGAAAGGCAAAACCGGCGGAAATAAAGCGAATAAATGAGAAATACTTGATGATTTGGGCAATTAGAAGTGGTAAATAATTGTATGTTTGTGTGTGTTCGCTAATTTGGGCTAAAACAACAATAAAACGCACAGTAGCATCGGAGAGTTTGCCGCTGCGTTCACAAGGTTTACGAAGGTTTTATTTAATCGATGAGACTTTGACTTTAATTTGAGGTTGTAAAAAGCAATGTACTTAAGTACATCTTTATGTACTCTTACATGTATTTAGAAATGTTTAAAAATATATATGTATATATTATGCAATACCTAATAGATAGATATACCATCTGAACAAATTTGACTATTGGATATCGAATCGATAAAATTTTTTTCCTTCAGCCTTTTTTATGTTCGTGTTTAAGTTTAAATTATTGACGTAACGACGCGTAAGTTTGTTTTGCAATTTTTACCATGGAAAAAAATCGAAAAACGAGTTTGCTTGAAATTTTGTGTTTTCAATGGAAAAAGTCTTTTGAGGAGTCTACTTTATCGCGAACACAAGTATTTGAATGGCAGAAGGCATTCAGTGAAGGTCGTGCAGTCAACGAAAACTTGCCTTTGCGAGTCGTTCATCCAAATCTGTTAATGACGATAACAACGAAAGAGTTAAAGAAGCAGGGCTTGAAAGCCGTAGTGTTGGCATCAGAGAATTGGAGAGAATCTCAACATATCTTTGAGATCGATTCAACAAATTTTGCTTAGTGTTTTAGGTCTGAAGGGCGTGAACGCTAGACTTGTAGTGATATTGTATCATTACTGCTGACAAGGCGTGGGTTTATGAATATGACGTCGAAGCTGTTCAACAATCCAACGAATGACGCTTCAAAAATTAGCCAAAACCGAGAAAATCAAAATTCGCTAAATGCACTGAAGGCCATCAAAATCAGTTCTGCTTACATTTGATCAGATGGTATTACCTGCTAGAAGAAAATTAGGATTTTCGTCCGGCTAAGTGAGGAATACAGAATCAGACATTGGCCATCAATCAATATAAAATACCATAGGAATTTCATGGAGAGTATCGAAGTTTAAGATTTATAATAACATCATAAAAAATCGTTTAGGAAACTGTCACATGCGTTTTCTACGTAACACACGAACATTAAAAAAAATATACATGCTTCATTTACCGCTCATCTTAATTGGCAACGGACAAATTTCTACATACTACATATACTTGTAGACGATACTGACCAGGTTAGTGCGTGCTGACACCCGACACGAAGTCATTGCGCGTTTGCGTGTTCACACAGTGTTAAAACGTAAACGTTGGAGGTCTCTTTTCGAGGACAGCCGAACAGAGGAAAACAGATAACAACTGTACAACTGTAGAATGTGAATATTGACATTATCACCCACAAGCAGGACGACTGGTCAGTAGTTGATGTAGGCCGCAACGATGGCGGCGGTGGAGGCAGTTTAAATGCTGGCAGGTCGGCTGGACATCGGCAATCCAGGGAAGATGCCAGAATGTCGGTAATTTTGTTCTGGCTTCGCGCCTTTTAGTATATATGTCAATAGTATTATGAGACTTCTTTCTTTTTTCACACACATGTACGTGCATGTGAGAATGTGTGTGCGCTGCTAGTTTATTTATGCAATAATAAATTGTGCGTGTCACAAACAAATGATAAACACTTTTGTGTGCGAGCCGACACGCTCTGTAAATCTCGGATAAAGCGAGTAACTGGCCATTGTCCTTTTTCCGGACAGTAGGTCAGCATGATCTACTGACTTCTTGCGCCAATTAGTAGTGCGCAAGTATACAGTCATATCTGTATATATATATACACATATGTACATGTATGGAAAGTTGGGTACATTCCCTTTTTATCGGCGAATTTTGTAAGTGTGCGGCCTACTTTAGATCTCCTTCATTCACTTGCAGTTGCATGAATGTGAGTTGTGACTGTGCTACAGCAGAATGTGTGACATTAAAGAACATTTCTTAAAAACACCGAATCGAGCTAAGTGAAATGGACCATTATCCTGCTGCTGATATATGTAGTACATACATACATAAATACATGTACGCAACAGAGACCGTTGCGCTAAGAATTTCTGGGTGTTCCATTGTTGACATCACACACTGCGGGTGCTGAACAATTTAATTCCTTGAATTGAGCGGTTTGAAAATTAATCGATAAGTAAAGTCGGAAGTTCAAAGTGGAACTATAACTTACCGTATTTTTATAGAGTACATACATACATACATACATATTTAACAACGATCATATCCGTTATGTTGGAAAAGTAGCGACTTATGTGTAATATTTTATTAAATTTCAGCAATAAACTCGAAAACTTTGTAGTTAAAAATTCCTTCTTTATTGCAGATGTATATCACCGATTACATTCTTGATTTGGGACTAATAACAAGTCCCTTTTGCCTCAAAAGGTTTCACCAGTTACTAAACTACATCTCTCATCGAAAAGTGGGGTTTTTTTATTGATCCTTAATATTAGTTAATTCCATATTTTCGCTCGTCTTTACCTATATACATACGTGTATAAAAATATGGATATATTTTTAGTGATCTTTGTATAACCATTAATACAAAATAAAAAATTATATATCTGTTCTACCATTTTTTCTGAAAACCGAATAATCAATTTACCAAAACATTCAGTATTTGCAAATAATTAGCAACACTGTTCGCGAAATTCGAACACACCCACGATGTTTCGCACACCTGTTCGCAGAATTCAAATGTGTAATGATTGGCAATTCGGCAGTCATTGATAAACCAATTGGAGTAAATTTTCGTGTTTTTTGTTGTGTTCTTTACTTGTAAATGAAAGTTTGCAGTTGCAAAGTGGTTAAATAAAGGAGAATCATCGAAAATAAAAGATTTTTCGCTTAGCTGGCTGTTTAAGATTTTTGACGTAAATAATGAGTGAGTACATCATAAGCTACTTTGTTTTTGTTGTTTCGCTTTGTAGTGCAGTACTTTGTGTTTATCAATGGTTGAAGTGGCGCGCTCCGTTATTCTGCCGACGTATTTTGCGAAATTTGAATTTTTAACGCACAGCGGTGTTTTACGCTTTCGCTCTTAATTCTTCGACTTGTTTTGTTTTTACTCTCTTTCGAAAGCGTTGCCAGTTGGTGTGAATAGTTTTGTAATATGACATAATTATGATTTACATAATTTTGAATTTTAGTTTCTACTAATTATAATTGAAACAGAGTAAGGTAATTTTTTAAAACAGCTGCTTTTCTGAAAAAATGATCCAATTTTTTTTTTGAAACACCTTTTGAAATGTGTGTGTTTAAATGTAATGTAAGAATTCCGGGAGCGAAGGGTCAACACCGGGCTGTCCATAGTTCTTTGATGTGCAGTAAATAAATAGGATAATTTTTTCAGAAAAGCAGCTTTTCTGAACATTTACCCAGAACAATTTGTATATACTATAGAATAATAGTAATGAATAAATAAATATTTTTTGGAAACAATAAATATTTTCAATGGGACGTCGTTAACATCGAGAAGTAATTATTGCTAACTTTTTTTTTTGTAATAGGCTATGGACTGATATTAGAAGAGATCTAGATGATGAGTTCCGAAACGCTATTTCAGAGGAAGTGAGGAAAATTTTCTGAAACGGCTGGACCGATCGACTTGAAATTTTCACACGAATTACTCAAGGAAATATGGTTCTTGATGTAAATTAAGATATTTTAAGCCACTCGGTAGTGTAAATTATAAAAAAACGTCGTTTGTTTGGGTAGCCGCCGTTTTATTAAAACAATTTTATCAGTCCTATCATTATCTCTATTCATCTATAGCAGTAATACATTTTTTTTTTGTTTTTGGATTTGAGATAATTTTAAGCAGAAAAATTTCCTTCCCGTCAGACACCTTTTCCGGAGGTCCTTCTGGAAATCGGCTACGGAATCAAGGAAAACCAAAATTTTTCAAAATGAATGACAGATTATAATAGTACAATAAATTTTATAAATGTATATATATTATTTATTTATTAAGTAAAATGCTACTACAAACGTAACTAGAAATTTTTGAGTGTGTGTGTAAATAAATTTCGACCTAAAGTAAAGATGTAATGATACAACTATTATTAAGGAGCTTAACAAGGGGCTCTATAATTTGCAGTAAATGAACGGTTATGGGTGGGACGATTATGTTGGGGTGCGTAACATATATGAAGCCACCATATATCGAATAGTTACATATGTATAAATGTGTATGTACTTAATTAAAATGAACTTAATCAAACTTTGATTTCATGCAATGAGTCGCGCTTTTAATTAAACTCAATTTCATTTTCCGTTTTGTGAGAAACGGCTACAAACGTACTTAGGTATACGTGTGTTACTCATATATAAATGTATGTATTTACTTGCATGTACATTCTATGTAGATATACATTTGTGTATTGTAAATAAAATAAAATATACATATGTACATATTTATGTATTTATTTTAGATGAGTGGCAAGCGTTCTCGCAGCTTTAAGTGTGCAGTTCATCATCGCGATCGAGAAGTTTGTTCCGAAAATGATTTTCAACTCATTCTAGAGGATCCGCCGTTCTTCAAGAAAATGGTACATGTCGTCGCCATGGAAATATTGCCCGAGGAGCGTGATCGGAAATATTACGCCGATCGCTATTCCTGCTGTCCCCCGCCTTTATTCATTATATTGATGACAATCGTAGAGGTAAATAAAACATTCCCATTGTATACTTAGTAAAAACCTAAAATTCCTTTATGTATATTTTATACAAATATGTAATTCAAGTACTTTTATACTAATATAATTACAAATGTACATATTATGTTCATAAACACCATGGGAGTTATGGTGATTGGAAAGTAAGAATACTTGAGCGTAGTAATAAAATTGTGTGAATGGTTTTGAGCAAAATGTCAAATATTTTATGACTGCGCGTATCGAAAGCGGCTTGCAATTCCTTTGATGTAATTTTTAATGTGTCCATTACTATTTGTAATATTTAAATATTCCAATACGCAAAATATTTTATAGTATACATACATACATATTCGTGTGTGTATAAGGGTATACCAGAATGACCAGGTGCTTTATTGGAAAGCCATAAAATGTTCATAAGTAAATAATCAAATATTTTTGTAAGGTACAGTTACATTTTATTACATACACACAAATGTTGACAATATTTTCGATACTAAAAATCGAAGTTACATAAAAATACCGTAAATATGCTTAATAGTCGGTTTCAATACGCTTTTATTGCCTTAGATGGATAAGCTGCTATGAAAGTTACGTAGTATGTTAATTAAGTCGTGCGTCGAAATAGCTACCGGATAGTAGTATGTACACATATAAATATGTGTGTAGATATTCTCAAATAGGCAGTATTTGAGGTTACTTCAGAAAAAAGTTATTAGAAGCATAATACGAGTATTCATTCTCCGGAATTCAAAATGTGCATATATACATATATATATTGTACTAAATGATTTTTTTTATTAGCAAGAACTCTCTTACTTTGCACAAATGCAAATATATATGGTCAATTAAATTTACATGCTTTCTTTTTTCTTGTAGCTCGGTTTTTTTGCCTATCACACATTCGTGGTTGGAGAAGCGGAACCTGCCGGTCCAGTTCCGATCGATTCATACTTCATTTACCGTCCCGATAAGCGTCGTGAGGTGTGGCGTTTTGTATTCTATATGGTATTACACGCTGGTTGGTTTCATCTCGGCTTCAATTTATGTGTGCAACTGCTTTTCGGTTTACCATTAGAGATGGTACATGGATCTGGGCGAATTGCTTGCATATATTTCTCTGGTGTGCTGGCTGGATCACTAGGTAATATTGGTTACGTAATATCGAAATGAAGAGAAGTCGGGCTTAGAAATTCTATGAACACTTTTAATATATAAAATTTTGATCCTTTAGCGCAACTTATGCTCATATAACTCGTGTATATAAAATAAATTCGTGTTTTTATATGTCCCTGTTTTTACGTTACTCGCAGGTACTAGTATTTTTGATCCCGAAGTGTGCCTAGTGGGCGCCAGTGGTGGTGTATACGCGTTGTTAGCTGCTCATTTGGCCAATGTCATGCTGAATTTTCATCAGATGCGTTACGGCATTCTACGACTAATTGCCATCCTAATATTCGGTAAGTTTGCTACTACCACATTACTGCAGAAGTATGCACATAAATATCTTTCTACAACTTTAAACTTTAAATATTTCTTATATATTTTAATATCGTTGCAGCATCCTCCGACTTTGGTTTTGCAATTTACGCACGATATGCCGAAGAATATCCATATAGTCCCTCAGTGTCGTATGTCGCGCATTTGACTGGTGCCTTAGCAGGTCTCACAATCGGTCTGATTGTACTCAAGAATTTCGAGCAAAAGCTGCACGAACAGCTTTTGTGGTGGATTGCCCTTGGAATTTACACTGCCTACATCATATTTGCAATAGTCTTTAATGTTTTAAATAGCACAGCTGCGTTGAGTCTAGATGTGGAACCCATCCATGCAACTGAAACGTTTTTCAATGATTTCCATGTGTAATATAGTTTATGTTTATTACTGCGCTCTAGACACTCTTTTATATAAGAGAGGAGTACTATGAGTAAACCGATTTTCGAAATATTTACACGTACATAAGTTTGTATGTATACATGTAATTCGTTACGGTTTGTGTTGAGCACTGCAATAAGTTTGAATTTTTTTTGTCTATAATAGTTTTCTCTTTGTAAAGTGAATGAAAGAAATGGAAGTTAGTGCATTTTTGCCAAAAATTTAATATCATGTTTTTGTTTATTTTATTAAAATTTTCTGTTTCTGTTTATTATAATTCTGTTACTGTTTAATTTCTTAGTTAATTGCTAATAATAAACTATCAGTGAATAGCATAAAAATTAAAAGGTTTGAGTTGCCTTCAAAATGTCAAATATGTATTAATTCATTGTGTTAATGAGAGATCTCTCTTAGATCGTGCAATAATTGAAGTGTGCATTTATATGTTAGTTTATTGTCTCAAGGAAATATGCCTGTGCGTAATTTTCTCTGAATAATTGACTGTAATGATGAATTTTGAAAAGTTTCTAAATTGCCAGTACAAAATAGTTACTTCTATAGCATATAAATAAAATGTATATATAAAAATATGTATGAAGCGAATCGTATGAATATATATATTTATGAACATAAGAATACTTATTTATTTACAAAAATTAAAAATATTTTTAAGTAGGATGAGGTGGAAAAGCAGCAATTCATATTACACCATAGATACATATGTATTTTTTGGAAAAAAATTTCAAAGTCTGCTGAAATCTGAACTTTTTTCATAATAACCGAATGTCAGAAATAAAATAGTTCACAATTTGTATTTCTATTCACATATATAATATAATAAGCTGAAATGTATCATTTCAATGAAATAAAATATTGTATTATCCATTATTGCTGTAAAGTTGTTCGGTTTCATTCATTTCAAGTAATTGAATAGGCTAATGCAAAGGTATAAATAAGACTTATTCACACAAATTTTGTATTTTAGAACATACGATGAAATCAAGGCTGCTTTTGCTTAAATTTTCATTGAATAACATTTTTCAAAACTATAAAAGAACATCGGTACTAAAAAATATGTAAAAAGGTACGTTTAAGATGTACATACATATGTAAATACATATGTACAAATACATATACATATGTGTATATATATAACGTTCAAATATAGACAAACACAACACTGCCATTTAAAGAGCTCTATGTATCGCAAAAATATCAAATAAATAAAATTATTTATTTAACAAAAGCACTGCGAGCTATTTTTAATTATATCTACACATTGTACAATAAAAAATACAACTAATTACAGTTTTTAAATAAATATTGTTTTTTTTTACATATGCAGCAAATCTACTAAAAATTTGTTTATATTTCATTTACTTTGATTAATTGAAAAGGTTTGTAAAAAAATATTTACATTTCACATATTTACTCTAAACATTCATGTTTTCTTGAAAGCTGGATATTGCCGTTTTACAGATCAGTTTTTTTGTATTAAAAAAATGCTAAAAGGAATGTATGTATAGCTTATACATATACATATATAGCTTATACATACATAGGTATGTGTATATGTAAATGATGTACTTACACATACACGTTTTACTAAAACATTCCTTGAACATGACATATCCACCTTGGGAGCGTTTTAGGAGAAGTCTTCACACTAAAAGCTTTATTTCAACGCTTAAAACTGAACTCTGCACCAACAGACATTTTAACATTTTACAAATTTCTGTACATCTGTACATACATACATCCATCTTTCAATTTAAGCTAACCTATCCATCCATAAATTACGTAAAAACAAAATCTGCAGCTGAGACTCATCAATTGAACTTTTTCAACACGTACTTTCCTTGTCTTCTCTCAACTATTTTCTATGCGCTTCCTCATCGCGCTACTACAAGTAATGTCAACCAACACACTCTCACAAACACACAGACACACAATTGCTAACATATTTGTGTACATCATCAATCATATTCTTTCCAATTTTTCGCCAGCGACCAGAAACCGATACGTGAAAATTTTAACATTAAATTCAGAAATATCCACTTTTTGCTGCTAAATTGTCAGTCGCCGCTGGCACTCAACCACTCCCTAGCCCCGTTGTAATAAAGTTTCCGCTAAATCACAACTCTCATGGGTGTAAACATAAGGCTGTCAGTCAAATGTTGATTGTCACTTATCAATTCCGAAATTGTGCAGCAGAAGAACTGTAGATTGGGAGACATGAAATGACCGTTAAGCAAACAAACGGTTCTACGATACAAGTTATATTTAAATTGTGGCTTTAAGCATTTCGTAAGGAACTATATTTTGAGACTATATATGCAAGATATATACAGAGGTTGTCTAAAGCAAAAGCCGTATTGGAGATTTAGCTACACTTTAACCGGTTTTTTCCGTAGGGCATTTAAGTATTCAGTAATTTTTTGGTGTTTTCGTTTTGCAACTGTAATTATACTCAACTATCTGTTGACATTTTGCAGTAGCCTATTTGCCTCGCGTCGCTTTTGATCCAACAAGTTCCTCTTCGCATCCGCTTTTTTACAATTTCCTGCGATTTTCAACAACAATTTTCGCGAGTCTGCTTTTGGATGACGAATTGCGCCGGTAAATATGCTTTAAATGACATGTTTTCACATATACAAACACACACCTCTGAAATGCCAGGCCTTGAGGACATTTCGTATAAATACATATGTATGTAGGTGAAGGGTGAGCTTTTCACGCCCCACTCGCTTCCGATAAGTGTTATGCTCCCATAGCATTTATATACCCACATACTTATATGTATGTGTGCATATGTGCGAACAACGGTATATGCGAGGCATTGTGGGTGCGACAAACGGGCCTTGGGTCACTAAGGATGTTTGTAGCCATAATAAATGGCCGGATATGTGTCGTGCGAACCGGACTGAAAAGGAAAAGTGTAAACAATCGAATATGGTTGGGAAGAGTGACAGAACGGCTGAATGGCAAGTGTACAAAGTGTCAGTCCACGCTGATAAATGTGGAAGGTTCACTTACACATTGACACATACACACATACATAGGTACCAGCTTCTCGTTGTATGAACTTTAGGGTGCTGGTATTTTTCTAGATACTGCCAATATCGCCTAGAATCATTGTGTAGTTTCTTCAGGGGTGCAACGTATTAGTAGACTCGTAGAAGCTGGGTTAAGTATCTTTTGAAGCTCATTCATTTTTGAAGTCACTTCGACAATGCTCTATTTTTCTTACCACCCTAATGTTCCTGATATTTGTTTAAACATATTTTTTATTACTGGCTACTATGACAGTGTAACTGTAATGAAAACGGTAAATGAAAAATCACTTTCACAATACAGTACCAATGAACTCCGTAGTTCCCTCTGTTTTATTTAAGCGCTAGTTGACTTATATGGACTTAAGCAAAGTCTCCATTAGCCATGAAAGATATGGAATTCATAAAGTTTTCTTTCTCCTATTTGTAGTCACTTGAAATTAGAATAGTTTTGACTATTTTTAAAACAAGAACTCAAGAAATTCTACTATCTAATTTGGGCGTTGTTGACTGATCTCTGTTTAATTCCTTGTAAATTTGTGTGTTTTCTAATTTAACAGTATTACATAATTTAAGGTGGCGTAGGTGGGCGTTGATGCCAATAAAGTTTGAAATTTTTGCAATTTCCCTCCACCCACATAATTAATGACCCCACGTAAATATGTACACAGCTATCAATAAATGCGTCCGTCTGCGTATTCAAAGAAGGCGCGAATGGCTTTAAAACGAATCCTGTGTAATTTAACTAAAAGGTAATTAAAAACCGTGAACCGAGTTGGTAATCACCAGCCTAGAAATTCTCAGATAATTTATTAAGTAAACAAAACTAACCTAATTTCAGGCCTTACGGCTCGTTGGCTGTGATTACTCTTTGCAATCTAGAGTCGAAATCGACACCATTGTTTGGTCATTATTCAATTTTGTGCGCTGGCGCATGCACATACATACGTACAGACATCATAACGGTACAAATACGTAAATAGTTGTGAATATTCACGTGGAAAAGAAGACTTTTTCAGTTAGAACGCTAAAAGTAGTCATAATGGTGTTAGTAGTAGTGTTGGTGCGGGGAGTGGTGGTGAGCGAAGAGAGCCATTGATAAGAAGCACGGAGCCAAAGGCCAAACAAAGGATCATAAATTTGTTGGAGCGAAAATCTATTATCGAGACATGCATACGTATGTATGTGTTTTAGTATGTGTGTATGAAAAGTTTCTAATAGTGCAAGATAGCTCTGTGTTGTTAGAGATTGCTCCTGAACGAGTGTTATTTAGGTGCGATGGTCTTAATGTGTACACTCATTAAGATAAATGTGCAAACAACAAAAACCGAAGTTACTTCTGATAGTTGATTACTTTCGATTTATTAAAATGTTAAATGCAGGTAAAGAAAGGATAAGAAGGCAATTGCAAATATTATTAATTGCAAATGGGTGTTTTCAGTGACCGCATACAGTTGCGTGTAGTATACTTGCAGTGCAACTCTTTCGCCTGTAATATAATAACACAAATGTTTTTATCATCATTCAATCAGATTTTGAAACCAATGAAATCGCGGAATCATTGAAAATGTCGCAGAATTATTTTGGGGTGTTTATTTTATCAAGATAACCAGTATTTGGGTGTCATAAAGCATTCAGTGACGGTCGTAAAGTCATCGAAAGCTTGCTTCATGCGAGTCGTCCATGCACCTCTTTAATAATGATAACATCGAAAAAGTTAAAGAAGGATCTCAATATCTCTTATGGATCGGTTCAACATTTTGGTTAATGGTATGAAACGTGTCACGGCTACACTCGTACCAAAAGATTTAATATGTTTCAAAAACGAGATCGAGTTGAAGCCGTAAAAGAAATGCTTGACAACGTAGCTGAGGACTCTACATTTATCAAACGCATCATTACTGGTGACGAGATGCCCACCATGTTTTTTTGTTTATTGTGGTGTGGTTTACCATAAAACCGTTCTACAGGTTCAAACGGTCAATAAGCAATACTACTTGACCGTTTTGAGCCGTCTATGTGGAGTATTTTGGTCGGACGTTTGGAACGGTTTCTGCGCCGAAAATTCATGGATTTTTCGCCGCCACGATCTAGCATGTTTTTGACTGCCTTCTTGCCAAACACGAAACGAGAGTCATCGCTCAGCCACCGTATTGGCCACATTTGATTCCCAGTGAGTTTATTTGTTTTCGAAAATGAAAAATCTGCTTCGTCGAACGCGTCATTTAAGCCACTATCAGCCAGTCATTTGGTGAAGGCACTGAAGGTCATTCCAGCAGGTGCTTATAACAAGATTTGATTAAGCGTTAATACAAGCGATGCTTGTATTGGCTCAAAAGGAACCCATTTTGAAGGAGATAATAAAGATTTGTATTAAAATACGAAAATGTTGCTTTTTCCTTAATCCGGATCAAATTCAATTAGATCAAGTTCCAGCATGAGAACTGTCCACTCCATTACCTCAAAAATTTGTTTCTACCTTGGATTGTGTTATCTTATTGTGTGAATTGCAATTTTTTTGATTGCTACTGTACGCGCAATATAAATGATATGAAAATATAATTATTAATTTCTCTTATTCTCGGTAATTAAAAATCCATAAATTTGATGGCTGTGATAATCCTTTGGTACTCAGAAAAATAAATAAAACAGTTTTGCAGAAAATAGCGATTATACATACCTACATACCTACATATATATATGGTATGTTTATTTAAATAAGAGCATGCAAGCAAGTTCGCTCCGTTATATTTTCCTCGGTGATTTTTAATGTACATATGTATATGTGTATGTATGTAATCCGACAGTGAATTTATTTAAATGCACTTGTAG